CGGCCGGTCGGGAAGTGGTTAAAGGAGTAATCTAGCTTTCTATAAACTTTCACACAAACGATATCTTTATAATGCTAGATTTTATTCACACTGTAACAATTATAGTACTTAAATTGTAATTAATTCTGATCAATTTAAAAGCAAATTACTAAATATCTATACCACATATAGTTAAAATAAATAATTGGTCTCATTTGAAGTGCATAAAGATTTTGAAAAAAAACAGCATGTTTAATCTTTTTTTTTCTCTATTCTATTTCTACAAAGAAAACACGGGCCTTTCAAGCCTTTGACTTGAGCTCTTGGGTGGACTTCCGCTTGAACTTCCTGATACATTCCTGCTCACACTGCTGCATCCCTCCTTGACATCTGAGGCATGTAAAATTACAGTTTTCTATGTAGCTTGTATCATCTGCTGCCAAGCATCCAAACAGCTTGTTGACCGATATCAAACTGTGGGATGAATAACTGCTGAAAGTTTATTGGAAAACACATTTCCTTTTCTTCAATCAACAATGAGTTGTATGCCAATTCTTAATGTTAAAAACATTCTGGCAATCATTTTCATTGCAATCAGGTGGTGAGATCATAATAAAATGATTTACATGATTTGGATGATTTTAAAAATAAGAAAAAATGTACTTTTCGCAGATGTGTTAAAAAAAATGAATAAAACTCAAAAGACATCACTTTTTGTTATGAAAAGACCTTATTCTGGATAGACAAATGCAGGTTTGAAAATAGTCAACATTTCAATAAGAAACAAAATACATTCAAGGAAAGAAAGTCTGAAAATGCTAATAATACTTGTCCTCAGACTCATTCAGTTTATGTGTAAATCTGAGCTTAAATAAGTGAGCTCCATAAACAGCATGATTTTTTTCAGCAGAGCAGCTAAGGTTGGATTTCTAAAAAATGTGAAAAGTAGCTTAGAGACTCATCTGATTTTTAGGTGGTCAGGAAAATAAATACAAAAAAATTGACTTTTTTTGTTACTCATTGTAAAATAACTTTCTCAGTGAGTACATTGAGGGATGCAGCCTCTTCTTATTCTCGACCATAGGGTTAGTAACAAGCAGTACCCACAAAAAAGAAACAAGAGGGATGGGTGCTGTGTCCGTGAATGAACTCAGAGAAATGGATTTTATGGTGAGTAACCAAAAAATCCCGTCTTATCTTTCGTTTATTGACAAATGCAGCTTTTTTTCTTATTCTCAACCAGGGGCGGACTGACAACTCATGGGGCCCCCTGGCAATAGGGGATCATGGGGCCCCTGTGTCCTTGCCCAAACTCAAAAAAGCCTATGAAAAAAGGTACCAGGGGCATCTCATGGGGCCCCCTACTGACCCCGGGCTCTCGGGCGGCGCCCGAGTTTCCAAATGGTCAGTCCGCCCCTGTTCTCAACCATAGGGACGTCCCAAAGCAGAGGGCTGGGAAACAGGAGCCAAAAAAGAAAACAAATAGCCAACAGGCTCCTTAACAGGTAAGCAGGAAATACACCACCCGACAGAAAACCCCATACAAAAGAGGATAAAGACTCAAAGAGCTGCTTTTAAAACCTTAAGGCCAAAGGAGGCATCTGAAGAAGCCTAAACATCCACCTTATAAAACTTAGTAAAGGTATGCACAGACGACCAGGTAGCCACGTTCCAAATGTGAGACACTGACGCCTGATGTTGGAATGCCCAGGAGGCACTGATCACCCTGGTAGAATCTGCCAAAACAGGGAAGGGAGGAAGCCCGAACCTTAATGTTGCAGGCCTGAACCACCATCTGCCTGATGCACCTTGAGATGGGAGGCTGCCAGATCCTTTCTCGATCTGTCCGTGACCACTAAAAGAGGAAAGGCAGCTGTAGCAGAAAGATACGCCCAAATTGCCCAGGCCACATTCAGGGAGCGCAAAGCAATCTCTTTTGGATGCAAGGGACACGGGCACAGGGAGGGCAGGACAATGTCCTCATTCAAATGAAAATCAGACAACATCTTTGAAAGGAAGAAGGGACATGGATGAAGAAATAACGTACCCTTATGTAATACCAAATAAGGAGACCTCCAGAATAAGCCCACCAGCCCCAACGCTCTGCGCGCAGTAGTGATAGCCACCAAAAAGGCAACATTCTGAGACAGCTTAAGCAAGGGGAGATCTGTAATTTTCTCAAATGGTGGCTTCTGAAGAAAGGACCAAGTTGAAATCCCACAGCGGCAAGTACCAGAAGAGCCACATGCCGAACCCCTTGAATGAAGGTACAAATCAAGGAATGAGTGGCTAGGGGGTGCTGAAAGAACATCACAAGGGCAGAAGCCTGGCCCTTAGGCAGAATTAACTGGCTTGTCTATAGTGAAGAGGGGGTTTATGCTAGCCATGGCTGGGTGATAGGCGGTGCCAAGTTTCTTTTCTGCCTACTGTCCTACTCCTGTAGGTGGCGCTATAACCCTATAGTTGAGAATAAGAAAAGGCTGTGCCCTTCAATAAATGAAAGATAAGACACCATTAAGCATTTCCTTTAACAAAACACACACAGGTTCCTTTCTGTCTGTCAGGAGCCGCGGCGGCGTGTGGCTCGGTGCAGGTGCAGTGTGCCGACTAGCACTGGTGTACGGGCACTAGGTCCTGGCAGGCCGCGGAGATGATGGAACTCGCGCATGTGCACTTGGAACCGCGGGTGTGCGCCTGGCACCAATGATAGCGCACGGCGCGGTATTTAAATCCGCTCTGCGCTGACACTGGTTGCCATATGGTCTCTTCTGTTTGTTCCTGCTCCTGTATCTGTGCTGATTGATCGTTGCTGACCCGGATTGTCCCTGACCGTGCTGTATTCTCCTGCTCTGACCCCTGGCTTGCCTGACCTCTCTTTTGGATGTCCCTTATTGGATCTGACCTGGCGAGTGTCCCGACTATTCTCTGCCTGCTGCCTTGTACCGCGCTGTCCCCACGGTTACCGACTCGGCCTGTCTGACCACGCTTCTGCTCAGCCATCCATCCGTCCTGCTCGGACCCATCCGCCTCTTCACATCGGGCTCTCATCCTGCAGGTACCTCTGGCGGATCCCTCTACCACATGTGGGTATACTCAGGGGCCGCGACCTGGTCTTTGTCTGCTCTAAGTCCATCCCCACCATCAGGGGCCCTGGTGAACAAGCAGACTGGGACTTAGACTCCGCGCTCTGGGGAATCCTATTCCGTGGGTAGCTAGAAGTACCGCCAGGCGGTTCATTACACTGTTCTGCCTGGCAGTGTGACATGAACACAAGTTTTCTTCCCTAGCAACCCATAACAAATCATTCCCAACAAGCAGACATATATTTTGGGGATTATTTGCAATTTACTGATACACCTAAATATCTTTTGCTTATAGTTTTAGTTCTCGTCTACTGGATGACTGAAGTGAAACAAATGAAAAAGGAAAAAAAAGAGCCTCAGAACTATTGAGTTTCCTCTGTGATCAATAAAACCTTTTTTTTAAGTGGGCAATCCTAAAACAAATGACAGCCACCCCCTGTCCTTCTTCGGAGAGGTGGCTTTGTCATTGCCTTGTTATGCTGCTTCTGCTTTCACTGTTGTTTTTAGCTCGCTGGCACGTATGTGAAATGGATATTCCTAATAGGTGCAAATGTCAAAGCAATACGAATGAGTGAGGCATAGAGCTTGATTCACAGCTCCGCATCCCTCTGTCTGCGATTATGGATCAACTCACAACCTAATGACACTTTTTATTTAATCAATAATTTCCATGCTGAGCAGACAGGCCTCTTACAGAGAATCGACATGATAGCGACAAGGCCCTGTTATTAATCTTTCCTTTGCCAGCTTATCAGTGAACGCTGGAAAAGAACCACCAAGATAGATATGAAGGAACGATGACTGTCTTTCATATCCCAAAAGAAAAAAGCCCTCAAAAGGCTTCAATACAATTCTAAGGTCTTTGCATCCACTTGGACGCACTTAGTATTATTTATTCTAAATGCAGTCATTTAAAAAAAAAAAAAATAATAATAGAGAAAGTGTACAAAAACCTATTAATTTAAGAAATTTGCAAATCAGCAAGACCTACGCTAGATGACTTAGGCCAGGCTAGCCAGCATAGCCTAATAAATCAGTTTCATTGGAGATGTCAGTCGCCACGGTGCCTTGCAACAATGCTGGCATCTGTGATTCAGCAAAGCCTTTTCATCTTCAAATAAGATGCTTTATACTGATAAGAAGAGTAATCCTCTCCTGATCAAAAAAAAAAAATCTGCATTTTACCAATTAAGTTTCTGCCAGAAGCAGCACTGAGACTCCAGTGAAGTTTATCTCTGCTAAACATAAGGAGGAATACAGTCAGAGCTTTGTTTCATTTTCAGCTTGAATACTTATCTTTACTTAAGAACTGCAGTGTCTAGGCCCTGCGATAGGCGAGTCCCATACCTACACTATAGCTCAGTACACAGAAAATGTGGACACGCCACCTATTCATTTGTAGGATCAGACACGGAAATGCCTTGCTTGGAAATAATTACCGTATTTTTCGCCGTATAAGACGCACCTGACCATAAGACGCACCTAGGTTTTAGAGGCAGAAAACAGGAAAAAAAAATTCTGAACTAATGGACTGCAGACACAGTACAGGAGATGACCAGAGACTGCGGACAGCACAGGGATGACCAGAGACTGCGGACAGCACAGGGATGACCAGAGACTGCGGACAGCACAGGGATGACCAGAGACTGCGGACAGCACAGGGATGACCAGAGACTGCGGACATAGTACAGGGATGACCAGAGACTGCGGACAGTACAGGGATGCACAGAGACTGGGACAGTACAGGAGATGACCAGAGACTGCGGACAGTACAGGAGATGACCAGAGACTGCGGACAGCACAGGGATGACCAGAGACTGCGGACAGTACAGGGATGACCAGAGACTGCGGACAGCACAGGGATGACCAGAGACTGCGGACAGTACATGACCAGAGATGCGGACAGTGCAGGAGATGACCAGAGACTGCGGACAGTACAGGAGATGACTGCTGACCTTTGGGGAGGTGGGGAGCGGGTACCCGAATTTGACAGGTACCCGCTCTTACTTCCGCGGAGTTGTTCTTTCATCTTACCTGTTTCTCGATCCAGCCGCGTGCTGTCTTCCCGGCTTCTGTAATGGTGCTCGGCATGACAGCCGGGTGCCCAGTGCGCGCATGAGCGAGAAGCACTTGCGCTTTGTGATTGGTCCGGCAGCTTCTGGGATCTGCCATGTGTCCCAGGTACCGCCTTACCATTCACAAAAAGCACCGCTTCTTGCGCATGCGCACTTGGCAATTTGAAAATGACAAAAAGTGACATTCACTAAATACACTAAAATCACATAGTATAACATTCCTGTATCAAACCATTTCACATACATTTTGTCCCTCCTGCAGTGTCCCCGGCAATGTCCTCCGGTGGATGCCGGCATCTGTCTTCTGGGTTCTGTCCCCTGCGAGCGTCGGGACGTACGGGGGACGGAATGGCGGGAAATTTGAAAATGACAAAAAGTGACATTCGCTAAAATCACATAGTATAACATTCCTGTATCATCCATTTCACATACATTTTGTCCCGAGTGCTTTGTCCGGCGCCCTGCCTGCATTTTTACTGTTCTTTCTGCCTGGAAACTGAGAAACATCCATGGCGTCCAAAAAGCGTCCCTTTAGGTCAAAAGCGGTTTTAGACCGGCTAGAGAACAGCGATAGTAAATCAGAACCACTTGCAGAATTGAGTGATAATGATTCGTGGGGGAAATTCCTCATAAGACACCGAAAACGATTCTGCGACTTTGCTCAGCGATGTGCGAACTTGGCGTTATATTTCACATTTCAGTGTTTTTGGTTTGATTATATTATTGAATTACATTTATTATAATATTATTATTTTTTATGATTATTTATTAAATTATAATTTATGATTTTGTGTTTCAAATTTTATCCTCCCCGGGATGTTTACTAGACTCTTGTTCGGACAGATTTCAGTGAGTTATTCCTAAAAATTACAGGCCTACAATAAAAAAAATACATATTTCCATGCAAAAAAATGTACCGCTTTGAGCACAGAAAATTGGAAAGAATCATACCGCCAGGGAGGTTAACTAAATTAAGAAACCTTATTGAACTCCACTGCTTCTCAACATATGACATAGATCGTACAGCTTGAAAGATCTGATACTGCAGCCAACCATATACACTTTTTTGTCCTACATATAATATATATTATTCTTTTATTTACACTGCTCCCAGGCCTTAAGTTGATTTTAAGTGGTTGTTCAGACAGATTTCAGGGAGTTATTCCTAAAAATGACAGGCCTACAAATAAAAAAAAAATACATATTTCCATGCAAAAAAAAAAAAGTACCGCTTTGAGCACAGGTTAATAAAAAGCAATTACTTGCTTGCTTTACTTTTACAGCCTGTGCAGGAAACATAATAGAAACTTTGGCATCACCCCTACTGCAGATGTGTGTTTACACGAAACGCGTCTAGGAGGAGCCCCTGCACGCTTTGACGCTACGCCGCCGGATCAGGAGGTCCGGCGGCCCACATTAGATGTATACTGGTCAGTGTTTTTGGGTGCTTTTACTGCTCATAGCAGTTTCATACTATATGCAGTCATTCATGTATGTATTTCTGCTCAGCTTTTAATGTAATAAATTTATAGTTTTAAATACTACACTATGAGCACCTTTATTCTCCATATCTGGCACTGAGCCTCCATGTCTCAGCCCCAGTGATTTAGGTATTGCTGCAGACTTGATGAAGTAAATACTTGGAGAACAGATCGGTATCCTTTCTTTCACCACTGAGGGTCCATCAGAGGATTTCATTTCCGGGCAGTCTTTATTCAAGATCCTAGGATGCATGTGATACAGATATGCGTTTATTACTGGATTTCTGGTGAGTAGGCAATCTATTCATATTATCACAACGGGAGACCAGATTGCACCTACAATGTCTGATATTTCACTGTGGACTGAGGAATCCATATATTTGTATTACAGTGGACTTATTTTAATATTTGACTATATTGATATTATTTTACTGTATTTAATTTTTTTTTTTTTTTTGCCATTTAATTTGATGTAGCGCTGCACTCCTTGTACTTTTGAGGATAATAGAAACTTTGCTGAGGGCAAAAGCTTTATCATGCTCAAGTATTTATTTCCAAAGAACTCAACACCCATTACTGCCACCCAGCAATTGTCTTCTGATGCGAGTGTGTGCCTGACGCTCCCAGGGAGCGCACACAAGCAGGGGGTGGGGAGGCCGTTTATAAACGGCCACCCGCCCCTGCACTGCTCCCATCCGGCTGTTTATGTACATGGGGCTGGACGGGAAGTGGTTAAACATCAGAGCCTCTATATATTGGACAGCGTTTTTCAGTTAATACTAAACTATTTACCCAAGAGTAATTTTTTATTGGATTTTCTCTTGTTGAATGTTCAGTATTTTTCAAAACATCTTGTAAAGATTTGCAAACTTTCCCTCTGTGTGCTATGTTTATGACAGGAAAATAAATCTATCACCCTTGCTGAATTAATGCTGAGATGACCGGTTATACATAGCCAGTGCAGTGCTATTAGGGAGTCTGAACAGACTCTATGGTCCTGATTGACTAAACTGCAACCCCCTGTCAATAAGTTTCCCTATGGCAGATATTCCCACACTTCCTCTCTGGCAATCACCGTGGCAGTAAACTATTTGTACATGACTAGATTTCTGTCGTTCAGCCCCTGGCTGAACAAGAGAAAATCAATAAATTCCACCATCCACTCTAAACAGCATGGATGGAGGAATCTGCACTGTGGGCTGTTGTATTAAAGAAGCATCAGCGCTCATGGCAGCTTGAATACTCAAACAGTGCATCAGAGTGGATGTAGTAATTGTTCGGCTGACAAATTTCCACCCAGCTAATCTGATTTTTCAATTGACTTATGTTAAGCAAAGAAGTGCTGACAGGCTGAAACACTGGTTGAATTTTGGCAAACTCAGCAGAAATTGGCTTAAATTCAAACCATGATTGGACAGCTTAAATTAGGAGGACGAAAACATTTTTGTTCCCTTGTATATCACTGACTGTTTATGTCTACTTTATTTAACTTTACTGCATTTTTCCACATTTTTCCACATTAGTAAATCAGAACAACAAGAACCGTCTTTTTCTTTACACTGTGCAAGGATATATGGGGCCAAATAACATTTTGACCCTGATGTGTATATACAGTGGGGCAAAAAAGTATTTAGTCAGCCACCAATTGTACAAGTTCTCCCACTTAAAAAGATGAGAGAGGCCTGTAATTGGCATCATAGGGAGACCTCAACTATGAGAGACAAAATGAGAAAAAAAATCCAGACAATCACATTGGCTGATCTGGAAAGAATTTTTTTTTCAAATTATGGTGAAAAATAAGTATTTGGTGAATATCAAAAGTTCATCTCAATACTTTGTTATATATCCTTTGTTGGCAATGACAGAGGTCAAACGCTTCCTGTAAGTCTTCACAAGGTTGGCACACACTGTTGCTGGTATGTTGGCCCATCCTCCATGAAGATCTCCTCTAGAGCAGTGATGTTTTGGGGCTGTCGCTGGGCAACACGGACTTTCAACTCCCTCCAAAGGTTTTCTATGGGGTTGAGATCTGGAGACTGGCTAGGCCACTCCAGGACCTTGAAATGCTTCTTACGAAGCCACCCCTTCGTTGCCGTGACGGTATGTTTGGGATCATTGTCATGTTGGAAGACCCAGCCACGTTTCAATGCCCTTGCTGATGGAAGGAGGTTTGCACTCAAAATCTCACGATACATGGCCCCATTCATTCTGTCCTGTACATGGCTCAGTCGTCCTGGTCCCTTTGCGGAGAAACAGCCCCAAATCATGATGTTGCCACCCCCATGCTTCACAGTAGGTATGGTGTTCTTTGGATGCAACTCAGCATTCTCTCCCCTCCAAACACGACGAGTTGTGTTTCTACCAAACAGTTCTATTTTGGTTTCATCTGACTATATGACATTCTCCCAATCCTCTTCTGGATCATCCAAATGCTCTCTAGCAAACTTCAGATGGGCCCCGACATGTACTGGCTTAAGCAGGGGGACACGTCTGGCACTGCAGGATCTGAGTCCCTGGCGGCGTAGTGTGTTACTGATGGTAGCCTTTGTTACGTGAGGCCCGCAGGGCGCGCGCAGACCGGCGGGGCGAAAGCCGGAGGACCAAGGACAATGGTCCCAGCTCTCTGCAGGTCATTCACTAGGTCCCCTCGTGTGGTCCTGGGATTTTTGCTCACCGTTCTTGTGATCATTTTGACCCCACGGGGTGAGATCTTGCGTGGAGCCCCAGATCGAGGGAGATTATCAGTGGTCTTGTATGTCTTTCCATTTTCTAATTATTGCTCCCACAGTTGATTTGTTCACACCAAGCTGCTTGCCTATTGCAGATTCAGTCTTCCCAGCCTGGTGCAGGTCTACAATTTTGTTTCTGGCGTCCTTCGACAGCTCTATGGTCTTCACCATAGTGGAGTTTGGAGTGTGACTGTTTGAGGTTGTGGACAGGTGTCTTTTATACTGATAACAAGTTCAAACAGGTGCCATTGATACAGGTAATGAGTGCAGGACAGAGGAGCCTCTTAAAGAAGAAGGTCCAGGTCTGTGAGAGCCAGAAATCTTGCTTGTTTGTAGGTGACCAAATACTTATTTTCCACCATAATTTGCAAATAAATTCTTTCCAAATCAGCCAATGTGATTGTCTGGATTCGTTTTCTCATTTTGTCTCTCATAGTTGAGGTCTACCTATGATGCCAATTACAGGCCTCTCTCATCTTTGTAAGTGGGAGAACTTGCACAATTGGTGGCGGACTAAATACTTTTTTGCCCCACTGTATATTTCTACTAAGAACTGGAGTAACTTCTCTACCACCACCAATCACCAACAGAGAAGGCCTGAAGAGATCTGTTTGGTGGCTGTGGGAGAATAAATCCAGCGCTAGTACAAACATGGTAACATAAGGCCTTTTATCTAACTGATTAATCTGGACAATTTTTCCAGTGGTGCATCAGCTTGCTTTTATCTGATCTTTGCAATATAAGGTCTGTATGCTATTATTCCATATATGCATCATCAGTAGAAAATATGAAAAAATATATAAAACACATGAAATGTATTAAAAAGGATCACTGATAAAGTCCAGGAAAATATAAAGTCAAATGTGGTCCTTTCACTAGTTTTTAGTTAGACTGTAAAAAAAAAAAATAAGTACTGGGCAGATCTTGCTTTTCTCCTTGTAAAAATGCA